GCAGACAGAAGAGGATTTAAAACGATCATACAAAGGTTCGTTTGTCTTCTATTTATTTATTTATATATTTGTTTATTTGTTTATTTATTTTGTTTGTTTTATTCTCTATCTTTTTCTGTATTTTTTTCTCTATTTATTTATATATTTATTTATATATTTATTAACCAGGTATAAAGATACAGACAGAAGAGGATTTAAAACGATCATATAAAGGTTTGTTTGTCTTTTATTTATTTATTTATTTATTTATTTATTTTTTTATTTATTTTGTTTGTTTGTCTTTTGTTTATTTACTTATTTATTTAGTTATTTGTTTATTTTTTTTGTTTATTTGGTTGTTTATTTATTTATTTATTTATTTATCCAGTAAATATATAGGTGTATAAGATAAATAAATATATAAACAAACAACAACTGCTGCTGCTGCTGCTGCTCCTCCTCCTCTTCCACCTCCTGCTGCTGCTGCTGCTCGTGCTGCTGCAGCAGCAGCAGCAGCTGCTGCTGCTGCTCGTGTTGCTGCTGCTGCTGCTGGTTCCCCTCCTCCTCGTCCTCCCCTTCCTCCTCCTCCTCCCCCTCCTCCCCCTCCTGCTGCTGCTGCTGCTGCTGCTACTTTCCCTCCTCATCCTCCCTCCTCCTGCTGCTGCTGCTGCTGCTGCTGCTGTTGCTGCTGCTGTTGCTGCTGCAGGTTATTGTTTTAATTCTGAGTTGAGTGACAGTCTAAGTTTAGATAGATCTGTTCCTTCTTTTGATTCTGCTGCATGCAGCAGCAACAGAGAAGAGTTTACAAGGGGTCGTGCAGCAGCAGAAGCAGCAGCAGCAGCAGCAGCAGCAGCAGGAAAGGATGAAAAAGAGATATCATTCGAAGCAGCGTCAGCAGCAGCAGCAGCAATAGGTAAAAACAAAAGCATAGAAGAAGTAAAGAATATATTATTTAATATTTCTGTTGTTATTGTTATGCATAATGAGCTTCTCTCTGTGCTGCTGCGGTCTATACACTCCGTTCTAAACAGAACTCCCCCATCTATACTCAAAGAAATTATTATAGTTAATGATTTCTCCTCTATAGATACACATCCTTCTCTCTTCTCTCAACTGCAACAATATATTGCTTTTGCTTTACCTAAAACTAAACTTCTTATACTCAAACAAAGAAGGGGACTTATGGTAAGCGGGTGGTGGGGTTGTTGTTATTTTTTTTTGCGTTTTTTTTTTTTTTTTTTTTTTTTTTTTTTTTTTTTTTTTTTTTTTTTTTTTTTTTTTTTTTTTTT